TAGTAAGTAAGCTTATTTTCATTTCTGTCCAAGGAGTTTCATATATTTTAGGCCAAGTAATAGTGTAGTAAGTAAGCTTATTTTCTACACACTTCACATGGAGAAAGAATTGCACCCTTGCTCTCTCATTGGTCCTGACGAAAGTAGATAATTGAAAAATATTTAATAAGACGATTTGAAGACTTGGTTCGTTTTAAGATGGAGGTATGTAGACACGGATCAAGTCTCCTATTGCTGATAAAGAAATATAATGTGGTGTATTTACGATGCTCAACATTTTTGGCAAAGTTTTGAAATGAATTCTTCAGTGACTGGACGTCGTGCGCTCAAACCCAGACAGGGTGCGTGATCTACTGTTTTGACCGATGCGAAACGAAAGTACTGTTTCTTGAGACACCAACGCAACAGATAGTTGTAAGAAAAGCTCAGTCTTAGGGGCAACGCACTTAACGAACTATGAAAACTGGATCTTTCTTCCGCGGGAACAAAGCCTGCAATAGCAAGTGGTCAAGATCAGATGACTAATTAGAACTGCAAAGGATCCACTTAATCTATTCCCTTCGCTAAACCCGCCATATGGCAAATAACAATATTGAGTAACAAAATTATTGGATTGAAGTTTTCGTGATGTCTAAATCGATCAAGGTCAAGGTAATCATTAGCTGCCAATGGAGTACAAATTATATTGCACGAGTCAGTCATTTATCATTACTTTTATTCTCGTTTCAGAGAGTCCCGACACATATAATCTGCTTGAACAATATCTTAGATCTTTGCAACAAAAGGGTATCCTTTTTTGAATACTTGTTGTTCGGCGCTCTCTGAAACCTAAGTATTATTTAATTTTCAAGAACGATTATACGCCCGCCGATGACCTAGAGCTTACACCCACGTTTAAAAAGGAAAGAGTTGGTAAGACTTAATAGGTGACTCAAAAGAATGATCGAAACTGGAAGATATGACCAAACCACAAAAACGGATAGACGGCTTTCTGCAACTTTCTGTTCTAATCAAATTGAAGCCGGAATCATTTATTTTTCAACCGTCTTAAATACTCAAGTTTTTGAGAGAAGGTTTTTCAGGAAAACAAGTTGCCACTGGTAGATACTGAACAGCAAATAACTACCTACAGTAGAGGTAATGTCTCAACCAATCGGAAAACCCTGATTACTATTTTCTAAAGACTCACATGACGAGATTTGTGTTATCATGCTTGATATTCCCGCCCATAATTCTTGAAATTTCTCCCTTCATTATGTACAGTGTTGTAAAAAGTATTGAGCTAATCAACCTTTGTTTGATACAAGGTTCTTCTTTTCCGTGATCAGGCGGAAGCGGCATAACACGTAACCTGGCCAATGGCTGTTTGGCTGCAATTAATATTCGTCTTATAAATAGTTGTTTCACTACCCTAAGGTGTTGAGCGCGACGGTAGACAAAGTCGGTAATCGAATTATGAAACAAGGTTGAAGTTGGCTATTGCACAAAATCGTGATTTTTTAAGAGGCGAGCAGAATTGTCCCGTCTGCTCACCGACCTAAAACTGATGCAAAGTTTTTTTTTTAACTTAAAAAGATCAAGGGCGAGACTTAACACCCTGATGATATCATGCGATTATTGCACTCCTCTTCATATTGATAGCAAAATTTATCAAACTAATCCGCCTTATATGAAAGTTTTAGGAAATATCCCAAATCCTTTTTATAGATTAACCGTAAATATTCTTGCTCGCTGATTGGTCAAGAACCATCGTAAATGAAACTGTGGTTGCTATGTTATGTAAGCTGTTTCGCATTGATTAACAGGATTAGATGTATTATTAATAGCGAAATACACTGCTGCACGCGCACAGGATATGTTTACAAGTGAAAGTGAGCACTTACTCGTCACGACTAAAGGAGCGAGCAGGACTACAAACATAAATTATTCACTTCGGAATCACCGTAGCCTTTGAGTAAAATTGTAAGCATTGAGACGTCAAGTGTGTAAGGGACCGAGGCTGGTGACCATAAACGCAAAATTCACTGTGATAAAAATAGAAGTGGCAACATAGAAGCTCTGCAGTTAACAGTAAGTAGGTCAATAGTAACTGATATTTAAAAGTTTTCTTGGACGCGTCAAAGGTAATTACACGTTATTTGAAGCAGATAGAACCGTTTTTTCTCACAGTAGGTTAGTATAATTTCTCGCGAAAAAGTGAGGAAAATTTGATCTTCTATCTTAATTTCATTCACGTTCAAAATGCCATGCATGCCCAGCGCAAATTCTTTGAGATGAGTCGTCAGTTAACAGTTGGTAAAAACATTTTCCTTCACTTTAGCCGTGCCTGAAAGTAGCCTTACGTGAAATCACCACTGGGTTTAGGACGAAAATTTGTCAAAATCAAGTTGTGGTAGGAATTTTAAATCACTTTGCTCTCTAAAGGCTATCGAGGAGATAACTGCAATCTGCTGTAACCATATGCTCACATCATGTGCTTCTCACACATCATAGCCGCACCACAAATCATTTTGCTAATTGTACTCTACTCAATGGCAAAGAGAGTAAATAAAGGCTACGCGTTAAGATATTTCCCCCGTTGAGTGGCCGGTACAGCTTCTTCATTTGAATTCAAGGAAGAGTGCTTAAAGTGAAAACGTGTCTTCCGGTCACGCAAACAGTCTGGCGGTAAAAAGGTGAAATGGACTATTTAAAACTTTGACACTTCATCGTGGACGGAAATA